GTTTTTCCCACAAGGGCAAGAACTTTTTAATGCATCAGGCTCTACGGGTTAAAAAGAGAAATTCATAAACAGTTTTATAAGGACATTTGATATATTTGATGTTATGTAATACATGTTGTAAGACAAAGGAGATATAAAAAGAGCTATAATTCTCATATTCAGAGTGACCTTGCCCTTGACCTTGAACAAATTTTGAAGGTTAAATGATGAAAAAGCCATTGCAGTTGGTTTCGTGTCTCTACAATTAATCGTTTTAATTTTTTTCATTATACGTGAAGAACAAAAACTTTCAGGGGGCAATACTTGATCAAAGTGCTGGATCTATCATTTGGCAATACCAAGATTGAAAAGTATTCTCAAGTAGTCGAAGACATCGGTGAAGGTTTTGTAACTCTAGGGTTTACGGTTTCGGAGGAGTAGCGATAACAAGCAATTCTTGCGAAAGGGGCAATAACTGCGAAAGGGGTCATAGGTTATATGCGTTGGGTCAAATTTGTTCATAACTTTTTATGACCTTTACGATGAAGAAGAAATCTTTTCGATAAACCTCGAAACAAAAAATCAGCGGAAGAAAAATAATAAGAAGAAGAAGAAGAAGAAGAATAAACAGAAGAAAATCAATAGGTCTTTCCACAGAAAGGTGGAAAGACCTAATAAAACACTAGTAGACTAATTGTTCACAGAACAATTAGAGGTCTTTCCACCTTTTTAAGTGTTTCCATGTAATTTGGGCTGTAAAAAAAGAAGAAAACTGAAGGGGGGAAAAAAAAAAAAAATTGTTCTTCCAGCAGGGATCGAACTCGGAACCCTTAGCTTGAAAGGCAGGCGCGCTAACCACTACGCCACCAATTCCGATGAAGATTTATGCAGTAAACTACCTATTCAAGAATAAAAAATTGTTGTACAACGTAGTTATCGGAATTGAATAGTTTTGAGAAACATGTTTCCATATCATTTGGCTTACAAAAGAACAGAAGAAAGAAAGAAAGAAGAAGAAGAAGAAAAAAGCAACAAAATAAATAAAAAATCAAAAATTCGTATTTTGCTATAGATTTATTGTCGGGCTCGTTTCTCTATAGAGTTCAAAAGGTCTTTGCGCATCTCCAAAAAAAGATGTTTTTTTTTTTTTTTTTTTTTTTTTTTTTTTTGCGATTTAGGGGCCAATTTTTCTCTCTTTCCCCTTCTCTCTTCCTTTCTCTTCTTCTTCTTCTCTCTCTCTCTCTCTCTCTCTCTCTCTCTCTCTCTCTCTCTCTCTCTCTCTCCTTTTTTCTTTTTGCTTCCGTGTTGATGGCATTTGTTTACATATAGTTACCATGGAAGTACAATGCATGCATGACATGTGTTTTACTGTGCATATCGTAATTCTATTTTTGTGCACTGTGCATTCGAAGGTTTAATTTGAGGTGTTAAATGTTCTGATTTAGTTAGACTACTTAGAAAAGTGCCGATGAAATAAATCGGACTCGAGGCCAATGGTATGTAGGTCGTCATATAGGAAAACATGGATTGGACTCAAAGCGACCTGACTGCGGATCCTAAGATTGTTGCAGGCTCAGTAAGAAGATTCCTGAATGAAACAAGCTTCCATGTGGGTTATATTAAATGCAGCTATGATAAATAAAATGTTCTACATGCATTTTAAGAAGAAAACAAGATAATTAAAGCGTGGAATAGTTTATTTCATACATTTATATTGGTTTAACCCCCCCCCCCTTTTCATATATTCCGTATTTCTCGTATTTTGGATGACCTTTGACCTTGACCTAAATTTCAAGGTCAAAGTTTCTAAAGTAGTCGAAGACACTGTTGAAGGTTTCGCATCTCTACGCTCAATGGTTGTGGAGGAGTAGCGATAACAAGGCTTTTGGCACAAGGGGCAAGAAATTTTTAATGCGTCGGGCTAAGGGGTTGAAAAGTGAAATCTGAAAATAGTTTTAAAAGGACATATGATGTATTTAATGTTATGTAATATATGTTGTCAGACAAAAGAGATTTTAAAAGAGCTAAATTTCTCATATTTAGAGTGACCTTGACCTTTGACCTTGAACAAATTTTGAAGTCAAACGACGAAAAATCCAATGCAGTTAGTTTCGTGTCTCTACGATGAATCGTTTTAATTTTTTTCATCATACGTAAAGAAGAAAAACTTTCAGGGGGCAATAACTCATCAAAGTGCTGGATCTATCATTTCGCAATGCAAGATCGAAAAGTCTTCTCAAGTAGTCGAAGACATCGGTGAAGGTTTCGTAACTCTAGGGTTTACGGTTTCGGAGGAGTAGCGATAACAAGGTTTTATTGCGAAAGGGGTTATAACTCCTCGAGGGTTCAAAGTTCTTATACGCAGGGTCAACTGCAAAAATCTTTTACGAAGTACATTCTTATGGACCATGAATCTTTTCGATAAATCTTGAAACTCAAAAACACGTGGCGGAAAAATAATAATAATAATAAACAGAACAATTTCAATAGGACTTTCCACAGAAAGGTGGAAAGCCCTAATAAGATGAAAGAGACATCAAAAGCACTGACTTTTTCATGTTTTGAATGACCTTGACCTTTGACCTTGACCTAAATTTCAAGGTCAAAGTCCCTAAAGTAGTCGAAGACACTGTCGAAGGTTTCGCATCTCTACGGTCAATGGTTTCGGAGGAGTAGCGATAACAAGGTTTTTCCCACAAGGGCAAGAACTTTTTAATGCATCAGGCTCTACGGGTTAAAAAGAGAAATTCATAAACAGTTTTATAAGGACATTTGATATATTTGATGTTATGTAATACATGTTGTAAGACAAAGGAGATATAAAAAGAGCTATAATTCTCATATTCAGAGTGACCTTGCCCTTGACCTTGAACAAATTTTGAAGGTTAAATGATGAAAAAGCCATTGCAGTTGGTTTCGTGTCTCTACAATTAATCGTTTTAATTTTTTTCATTATACGTGAAGAACAAAAACTTTCAGGGGGCAATACTTGATCAAAGTGCTGGATCTATCATTTGGCAATACCAAGATTGAAAAGTATTCTCAAGTAGTCGAAGACATCGGTGAAGGTTTTGTAACTCTAGGGTTTACGGTTTCGGAGGAGTAGCGATAACAAGCAATTCTTGCGAAAGGGGCAATAACTGCGAAAGGGGTCATAGGTTATATGCGTTGGGTCAAATTTGTTCATAACTTTTTATGACCTTTACGATGAAGAAGAAATCTTTTCGATAAACCTCGAAACAAAAAATCAGCGGAAGAAAAATAATAAGAAGAAGAAGAAGAAGAAGAATAAACAGAAGAAAATCAATAGGTCTTTCCACAGAAAGGTGGAAAGACCTAATAAAACACTAGTAGACTAATTGTTCACAGAACAATTAGAGGTCTTTCCACCTTTTTAAGTGTTTCCATGTAATTTGGGCTGTAAAAAAAGAAGAAAACTGAAGGGGGGAAAAAAAAAAAAAAATTGTTCTTCCAGCAGGGATCGAACTCGGAACCCTTAGCTTGAAAGGCAGGCGCGCTAACCACTACGCCACCAATTCCGATGAAGATTTATGCAGTAAACTACCTATTCAAGAATAAAAAATTGTTGTACAACGTAGTTATCGGAATTGAATAGTTTTGAGAAACATGTTTCCATATCATTTGGCTTACAAAAGAACAGAAGAAAGAAAGAAAGAAGAAGAAGAAGAAAAAAGCAACAAAATAAATAAAAAATCAAAAATTCGTATTTTGCTATAGATTTATTGTCGGGCTCGTTTCTCTATAGAGTTCAAAAGGTCTTTGCGCATCTCCAAAAAAAGATGTTTTTTTTTTTTTTTTTTTTTTTTTTTTTTTTTGCGATTTAGGGGCCAATTTTTCTCTCTTTCCCCTTCTCTCTTCCTTTCTCTTCTTCTTCTTCTCTCTCTCTCTCTCTCTCTCTCTCTCTCTCTCTCTCTCTCTCTCTCTCTCCTTTTTTCTTTTTGCTTCCGTGTTGATGGCATTTGTTTACATATAGTTACCATGGAAGTACAATGCATGCATGACATGTGTTTTACTGTGCATATCGTAATTCTATTTTTGTGCACTGTGCATTCGAAGGTTTAATTTGAGGTGTTAAATGTTCTGATTTAGTTAGACTACTTAGAAAAGTGCCGATGAAATAAATCGGACTCGAGGCCAATGGTATGTAGGTCGTCATATAGGAAAACATGGATTGGACTCAAAGCGACCTGACTGCGGATCCTAAGATTGTTGCAGGCTCAGTAAGAAGATTCCTGAATGAAACAAGCTTCCATGTGGGTTATATTAAATGCAGCTATGATAAATAAAATGTTCTACATGCATTTTAAGAAGAAAACAAGATAATTAAAGCGTGGAATAGTTTATTTCATACATTTATATTGGTTTAACCCCCCCCCCTTTTCATATATTCCGTATTTCTCGTATTTTGGATGACCTTTGACCTTGACCTAAATTTCAAGGTCAAAGTTTCTAAAGTAGTCGAAGACACTGTTGAAGGTTTCGCATCTCTACGCTCAATGGTTGTGGAGGAGTAGCGATAACAAGGCTTTTGGCACAAGGGGCAAGAAATTTTTAATGCGTCGGGCTAAGGGGTTGAAAAGTGAAATCTGAAAATAGTTTTAAAAGGACATATGATGTATTTAATGTTATGTAATATATGTTGTCAGACAAAAGAGATTTTAAAAGAGCTAAATTTCTCATATTTAGAGTGACCTTGACCTTTGACCTTGAACAAATTTTGAAGTCAAACGACGAAAAATCCAATGCAGTTAGTTTCGTGTCTCTACGATGAATCGTTTTAATTTTTTTCATCATACGTAAAGAAGAAAAACTTTCAGGGGCAATAACTCATCAAAGTGCTGGATCTATCATTTCGCAATGCAAGATCGAAAAGTCTTCTCAAGTAGTCGAAGACATCGGTGAAGGTTTCGTAACTCTAGGGTTTACGGTTTCGGAGGAGTAGCGATAACAAGGTTTTATTGCGAAAGGGGTTATAACTCCTCGAGGGTTCAAAGTTCTTATACGCAGGGTCAACTGCAAAAATCTTTTACGAAGTACATTCTTATGGACCATGAATCTTTTCGATAAATCTTGAAACTCAAAAACACGTGGCGGAAAAATAATAATAATAATAAACAGAACAATTTCAATAGGACTTTCCACAGAAAGGTGGAAAGCCCTAATAAGATGAAAGAGACATCAAAAGCACTGACTTTTTCATGTTTTGAATGACCTTGACCTTTGACCTTGACCTAAATTTCAAGGTCAAAGTCCCTAAAGTAGTCGAAGACACTGTCGAAGGTTTCGCATCTCTACGGTCAATGGTTTCGGAGGAGTAGCGATAACAAGGTTTTTCCCACAAGGGCAAGAACTTTTTAATGCATCAGGCTCTACGGGTTAAAAAGAGAAATTCATAAACAGTTTTATAAGGACATTTGATATATTTGATGTTATGTAATACATGTTGTAAGACAAAGGAGATATAAAAAGAGCTATAATTCTCATATTCAGAGTGACCTTGCCCTTGACCTTGAACAAATTTTGAAGGTTAAATGATGAAAAAGCCATTGCAGTTGGTTTCGTGTCTCTACAATTAATCGTTTTAATTTTTTTCATTATACGTGAAGAACAAAAACTTTCAGGGGGCAATACTTGATCAAAGTGCTGGATCTATCATTTGGCAATACCAAGATTGAAAAGTATTCTCAAGTAGTCGAAGACATCGGTGAAGGTTTTGTAACTCTAGGGTTTACGGTTTCGGAGGAGTAGCGATAACAAGCAATTCTTGCGAAAGGGGCAATAACTGCGAAAGGGGTCATAGGTTATATGCGTTGGGTCAAATTTGTTCATAACTTTTTATGACCTTTACGATGAAGAAGAAATCTTTTCGATAAACCTCGAAACAAAAAATCAGCGGAAGAAAAATAATAAGAAGAAGAAGAAGAAGAAGAATAAACAGAAGAAAATCAATAGGTCTTTCCACAGAAAGGTGGAAAGACCTAATAAAAACACTAGTAGACTAATTGTTCACAGAACAATTAGAGGTCTTTCCACCTTTTTAAGTGTTTCCATGTAATTTGGGCTGTAAAAAAAGAAGAAAACTGAAGGGGGGAAAAAAAAAAAAAATTGTTCTTCCAGCAGGGATCGAACTCGGAACCCTTAGCTTGAAAAGGCAGGCGCGCTAACCACTACGCCACCAATTCCGATGAAGATTTATGCAGTAAACTACCTATTCAAGAATAAAAAATTGTTGTACAACGTAGTTATCGGAATTGAATAGTTTTGAGAAACATGTTTCCATATCATTTGGCTTACAAAAGAACAGAAGAAAGAAAGAAAGAAGAAGAAGAAGAAAAAAGCAACAAAATAATAAAAAATCAAAAATTCGTATTTTGCTATAGATTTATTGTCGGGCTCGTTTCTCTATAGAGTTCAAAAGGTCTTTGCGCATCTCCAAAAAAGATGTTTTTTTTTTTTTTTTTTTTTTTTTTTTTTTTGCGATTTAGGGGCCAATTTTTCTCTCTTTCCCCTTCTCTCTTCCTTTCTCTTCTTCTTCTTCTCTCTCTCTCTCTCTCTCTCTCTCTCTCTCTCTCTCTCTCTCTCTCTCTCTCCTTTTTTCTTTTTGCTTCCGTGTTGATGGCATTTGTTTACATATAGTTACCATGGAAGTACAATGCATGCATGACATGTGTTTTACTGTGCATATCGTAATTCTATTTTTGTGCACTGTGCATTCGAAGGTTTAATTTGAGGTGTTAAATGTTCTGATTTAGTTAGACTACTTAGAAAAGTGCCGATGAAATAAATCGGACTCGAGGCCAATGGTATGTAGGTCGTCATATAGGAAAACATGGATTGGACTCAAAGCGACCTGACTGCGGATCCTAAGATTGTTGCAGGCTCAGTAAGAAGATTCCTGAATGAAACAAGCTTCCATGTGGGTTATATTAAATGCAGCTATGATAAATAAAATGTTCTACATGCATTTTAAGAAGAAAACAAGATAATTAAAGCGTGGAATAGTTTATTTCATACATTTATATTGGTTTAACCCCCCCCCCTTTTCATATATTCCGTATTTCTCGTATTTTGGATGACCTTTGACCTTGACCTAAATTTCAAGGTCAAAGTTTCTAAAGTAGTCGAAGACACTGTTGAAGGTTTCGCATCTCTACGCTCAATGGTTGTGGAGGAGTAGCGATAACAAGGCTTTTGGCACAAGGGGCAAGAAATTTTTAATGCGTCGGGCTAAGGGGTTGAAAAAGTGAAATCTGAAAATAGTTTTAAAAGGACATATGATGTATTTAATGTTATGTAATATATGTTGTCAGACAAAAGAGATTTTAAAAGAGCTAAATTTCTCATATTTAGAGTGACCTTGACCTTTGACCTTGAACAAATTTTGAAGTCAAACGACGAAAAATCCAATGCAGTTAGTTTCGTGTCTCTACGATGAATCGTTTTAATTTTTTTCATCATACGTAAAGAAGAAAAACTTTCAGGGGGCAATAACTCATCAAAGTGCTGGATCTATCATTTCGCAATGCAAGATCGAAAAGTCTTCTCAAGTAGTCGAAGACATCGGTGAAGGTTTCGTAACTCTAGGGTTTACGGTTTCGGAGGAGTAGCGATAACAAGGTTTTATTGCGAAAGGGGTTATAACTCCTCGAGGGTTCAAAGTTCTTATACGCAGGGTCAACTGCAAAAATCTTTTACGAAGTACATTCTTATGGACCATGAATCTTTTCGATAAATCTTGAAACTCAAAAACACGTGGCGGAAAAATAATAATAATAATAAACAGAACAATTTCAATAGGACTTTCCACAGAAAGGTGGAAAGCCCTAATAAGATGAAAGAGACATCAAAAGCACTGACTTTTTCATGTTTTGAATGACCTTGACCTTTGACCTTGACCTAAATTTCAAGGTCAAAGTCCCTAAAGTAGTCGAAGGACACTGTC